CCCGTGTAACCAGCCCCCGGCCCCACCCCAGAGCCAGCCGCGTCCCGGCACCGGGTGAGGGGGCCCCGTGTAACCAGCCCCCGGCCCCACCCCAGAGCCAGCCGCGTCCCGGCACCGGGTGAGGGGGCCCCGTGTAACCAGTCCCCGGCCCCACCCCAGAGCCAGCCGCGTCCCGGCACCGGGTGAGGGGGCCCCGTGTAACCAGCCCGGGAAGCCCAGTCCCAACCTTGAGGTGCTGTCAGCACAAATCATCCCAGCACATCACTCCCCACCCTTGACCCTGGGGACCTCTAGTTGCCATGGAAACAGTGGAGGGGGGGTCCCATCCATCAGCACTTGCTGGGGAGGGTCACGGACACCCCCCTCCCCAGGGTTTTTTTAAAATACTTGTTTAAATTAGGAGATAAATAGGCCCAGAGGCAAAATGGCAGAGACATGGGAGGAGACCCGGGGGGGGGGGGTTTCCAGGATCCCCTCCCCCAGCTGCTCCCCGCTCCCTGACCCAGCCCCCCCAATGCAACAAAAAAAGGGGGGTAAACTGTGAGGTGGCAAACTTTGCAGATGATACGAAGCTAGGTAAGTCTGCGAAGAGCTACAAAGGGGGTCACAAAACTGGGCAGCAAACTGGCAGATGAAATTCAGGGTTGATAAATGCAAAGTAATGCACGTTGGAAAACCTCATCCCAACCATGCATACAAAGTGATGGGGTCTGGATTAGCCGTTACCCCTCAAGAGAGATCTTGGCGTCATTGTGGAGAGTTCTCTGACAACATCCACTCCATGTGCCGCGGCAGCGAAAAACCGAACAGAATATTGGGAATCATTAAGAAAGGGAGAGATAATAAGACAGAAATATCCTATTGTCGCTATATAAATCCAGGGTACGCCCACATCTTGAATACTGCGTGCAGATGTGGTCGCCCCATCTCAAAGAAGATCGATTGGAATTGGAAAAGGTTCAGAAAAGGGCAACAAAAATGATGAGGGGTCTGGAACGGCTGCCGTGTGCGGAGAGATTAATGAGACTGGGACTTTTCAGCTTGGGAAAGAGACGACTAAGGGGGATATGTCAGAGGTCTATAAAGTCACAACTGGTGAGGAGAAAGTAAACAAGGAAGTGTGACGAAGCTGGGGATTGTTGTCGTGTTTTACATGAATAGTGTGTGCGTTTCCCTGTGTGCTGCATGTGTAACAAGGTGGTGGGAGAGGGGCTGTTGTTACACAGGACCAGGTGTGACCTCGCCTAGCGGCCGGGACCCCTGGACAATGGCCTGGGGATGGGGAACCCCAACAACTGGTGACCTGGAGACGAAGAGGCCACCCCGGCTTGGCTGTCAGCCGGTTCTGGCCAGTGGGAGGACAATGGGCTGCAGAGTGAGGACCCAGTGACCGAACCAGCCGGTTCCAGCCAGAGGACAGAAGCAGGAGAGGAGGCCCCGGTTTACGGCCCTGTTTACCTGGAGAGAAGACAATGGACAGAGGTGGGGCTTGGGGCCGGGGATCTCAGATGCCCAGCTGCGAGCAGAGGGGCTCTGGGCTGGAGAGGGGGAGCAGGCAGAGCCCACCTGGATGCAGAGAGACTGGGATGTGCTGGGCTGAGGGAGGCCAGGCCTGAGGGTCAGAGAGTTTCCTGTGCTGGGTTCAACTCTCAATAAACCCTCCTGTTTTATGCTGGCTGAGAGTCACTCCGGGCTAGAGAACAGGGTTGCATCAACCCCTTCGGGGATGAAGGCCCAGGGGTCCAGAGCGAGGGGACTCCCTGAGGGGGCCCACAGCAGAGACAGAGGTGCTAAGGCTCCGAGAGGTGCGGCTCCAGGAGGTGGAGGGGCCTGACCCCGAGAGAGAGTGGACCCCCGAGAAGGGCTGTCGCACTGAAAGGGGCACCCCCCACGGACCGCACGGGGCCAAGAGTGGGCCCGACCTGGGAGTCCGTGACAGGAAGTGTTATTTGCTCCTTCTCATAACACAAGAACTAGGGGTCACCCAATGAAATTAATCAGCAGCACGTTTAAAACAAACTGTGAGCACAGTGTGTGCCTCGGTTTCCCCTCGGTGCCGCATGTGACGAGGTGGGGGAAGGAAGGGGGTCTGTTGGTGCAGAGGGCGGGGAATGACCCTGCCCAGCAGCCGGGACCCCAGACAATGGCCCGGACAGGGGTGACCCGGAGGCCCAGCCCGGCTGGGGGCCAGGCAGCAGGGGCCCAGGTAACCTGTTTGCTGGGGAAGACGACAAAGGGCGGGGGAGGGGCTGTTCGGGGAGGGGATATGGGGGCTCAGCTGGAAGAGGGGGGCAGCCAGAGCCCCAGGGGACGGGGCCAGGCCCAGCTGGCCGGGCTGGGCCCAGCTGCTCACTAGCCCTCCTGTGACGCTGGCGCAGAGTCCCTGGAGGCTGGAGATGGGGGGGGGCTCCGGGGGGCCAGAGCAAGGGGCCTGCTGAGGGGCCCCCGGCAGAGCCAGGCGGCTGGAGGCTCGGGGGTGCGGCCCCAGGAGGCAGTGGGGCCCAGGGCTTAACCCCCAAGACAGAGCGGCCCCCCCCAAGAAGGGCACCCCGCAGGGGGGGTGTCCCAGGGCCGTAGGGAGCCGAGAGATGGGGGTGCTGGGAGTCTGGGACAATTTCAAACCAACTTTATTGAGGTGACAGCAGCTGCCCTGTACAATACACAACGCACCGGCCCGCCCCCCGATCCAGGGGCCCCCCTCCCCCGTGCGCCTGGCTGGGGGGTAAGTGCTAGTCAGAGACCCCCCCATGCCCTTGGCTGTGGCTCCCCCTCTCCACCGGGGGGGGCGTCTGGGGCAGGAGAAAAGTTAATATCCGAGGTTAAAACCTGTGCAGCCGCCCACGTCCCGGAGCTCCTGCGGTGTCCTGGCCCCAGGCTCAGACTGGGGGGACCCGAGGGGGAATTCAGGGGAATAAAAAGAGCCGGGAAAGGGGGGCTCAGATAAAACCTCCCTGGGGGGCAGAGGGGGTTGGGAGGGAGGCTGCAGGGGAGGGTTCGGGGACAGGTTGGGTCCGGGGAGGTTTCCAGGTCTGGGCCCTGCTCAGCCCAGCCGGTTGTGGACTCCACCGATGTGCCGGGGGGTCCAGCCCCCCTCAGCCCAGGCCCCGGGGGCTGCACAGGGGGGTCCCGGGGAGACTCAGGCCCCCCTCAGCCCAGGCCCTCCTGGATGCCACGGATGCGCCGGGCCAGCTGGATGTCCTTGGGGAAGAGGGTGACGCGCTTGGCGTGGATGGAGCAGAGATACGAGTCCTCCAGCAGCCGCACCAGGAATGCCTCTGCCGCCTGCGGGGGGGGGGAGAGGAGTCAGGGGGAGCCCCAACAGCCCCCCGAACCATCTCCTCCCCCTCTAGGGAGCCCCGACAGCCCCCCGAACCGTCCCCTCCCCCCAGCCCCCTCAAGGGAGCCCCCGACAGCCCCCCGAACCATCTCCTCCCCCTCTAGGGAGCCCCGACAGCCCCCC